ACGAAACTTGCAGATACCGTTAACTAATTTTACTACACGTTAAAATATCACAACAGTGTAACGACTGTATAGTTTCAATAATAAATAAGACATATAATACCATGGAAACTAAGAAATTGGAAGAAAAACATATCACTAAAACCCTCATTAACAATTGATACCCAGAACGCCTGATAAAGAATAAAGTAAAGAATATAAACACCAAGGTTAAACAAGAAGATTACAGGCGTACAGCCATATTCCACCACGTCGGAGGTCTCTTTAAAAACATACAAAAAAATATGTAAACAACATAAAGTTAGGACAGTATCTAGAATTCACATCACAATACTCTCACAACCAGTACACAACGAACCTCTTAAAAACTCAAAGGAAAATACAACCTACACCACCTCCTCCCCCTCATCAAGTTGTGAGAGTATTGGGGAGGAGGTGGTGTAGGTTGTGTTTTCCTTTGAGTTTTTAAGAGGTTTGTTGTGTACCTCATCACAATACTCTCACAACCAGTACACAACAAACCTCTTAAAAACTCAAAGGAAAACACAACCTACACCACCTACTCCACCCTGAATGTCGATTCCAATACTTAAAAGGAACAAAAAGGCAAATAAAAATTAGAATTCAGGAGCATAATAGGCACATGAGACTCAGTAATATCTACAATATCTCACCATGAGAGAGAGAGGAAGACCATGAAATAAATTGGAATAATCTGAAATATTAAAATATGAATCAAAGATTAGTAAAAGAAAGATAGTAGAAGCCTTCTACGTTCACCCAACTGACAAAACTCTTATTCACTTTACATAAGATTCAGAAAAACATATTTAGTTGATTCAATTTGTATTAGGGGAGACCCTAGTCGAATGAATAATTCACTAGACTTCCGTCAAGAAGACCCTGGATCGAATCTTGGCCACTACGAGTAAAGAAATAGTCCCCAGGACTTCTCCAACAGTCTTCCCTGAAGACAACAAAAGATTAGCAGCCGAAATGCAGGAGAAAACTAGTTAATAAGTAATATCCGATCGCCATAACCTTACCCTAAGTACTCTCTTAAACAAACCTTTCAATAAGATTAAACTGTTTTCTACTTCCCATCAAAGTTTCACACAAGCTGGCTCGTTTATGAGGTTTGTTTGTTCTTCCTCTTATCTCTGTGAAAAGGTTCTTAGAAACTGATAAATTGTAAAAGCTATAAATCAAAATAAGTGGAAGACGTTGGCTAGACGAGCACTCGGGTAACATTATACACACGGTGTTTCCACACAGTCATGTGTTTTAATGAAAACACTGGATAACGTTGGCTAGACGAGCACTCATGTAACTTTATTCACACAGTGTTTCCACACAGTCATGTGTTTTAATTAATCATAAATTATGCTTTTCCTTGTTCTTTGGATGCTGACCAAACTTTGATCAGCTTTTTGGACGTTGGTATCTCGTAAACAAGCTAACCAGTTTATTGTTTCTACATATAAATTAGTTATTTCAAACAAGTCGATAGATGCTTGATTGCATCACACCACACACACGTACATATATATTTATTCCTGGCAGGGACTATATTTACTCCATCGTAACGCGATTTACATAGCAATTTTTTACGCCATTATTGCTACGCATGCGCACTAATATATTTATGGATTTTGGTATTTTCGAGTCTGTATCGCAACTACGTATTGCCGTAACGATAGTTATCGCTATTTAGGTTATATCATTTTTCACTTAACATTACTTAATAACTACTGGTGGTTGGATTACGACATTCTGAACCAAAGACCAGGCCTAGTGAACGCTAAACTTACAGATCCATTGGTAATTGTAAATCTTTAAATGTATTCCGAATTTCGTGTTTAAAATATAGCATTGGACCAATAACAAGATTGGGAAGTGTCGAACCTGCTGCCTTGTTCGATAGTGTTCCTCCTCTCTAGTAATTTCATTATCTGCGCATGCGTTTAACTAAAAGGCCTTAAAAATAGCCACACAAACTCTTAAGTTCCTTATATACACAAGCACGCATCTCTGTCCCAGCATTTTCAAGTGCAAAACACAAGAGCCTGGACTGTCAGTCCGAGGATTCAGGGTTCGTAATCCATTGCCGCAAACATGCGCTTCGCACGCTTGAACTGTGAATAAGTGACAGTCAAACCCTACCATTCGATAAGACAAGAGTAAATCAGGAGATGACAATGGGTGCTATTGACTAAATGACTTCCCTCTAAGTCCGGCATGGCCAGGTGGTTAGGGCGCTCGACTCGCAGTCTGAGGGTTGTGTGTTCGAATCCCCGTCCCACCAAACAAGTTCGCCCTTTCAGCCGTGGGGGTTTTATAATGTGACGGTCAATTCCATTATTCGTTGGTAAAAGAGTAGCCC